TAATCTCTAAAAATATGTTTCTATAGTTTAAATTATCGATAGCATTGAATAAAAAGTGCATAGAAGCTGTTAGACAGTTTAATAATTGAACACAAATGCAATCACGCGATCTTCAACAGGGCTTAAAATATTGATAAAGAAAAAAAAACTAGATATATTAAATATCTAGAATAGTCGTTACACTAAAATAAATAAATTATATGTTTATGTCGATTGAATTCGTCATAAAGTTAATAATAAAACACACACATAATAATAAAGATAGTAAAAAAAAAGCTCTGTTGTAACTGTCATTTAATAAGTTTCTTTAACTATATGGATGTGTTTTATTTGAATTTAATGATACATCATTTTTAAGGAAAATGTATTTATTTTATTATTGTCAACAGGTAATTTATTTTTTCTACTAAAAATACAATAGATTAAAATATTTTTTTATTATACATCTCATCTATTAAATAGTAGTTATTAGCATATTATTTAATTATTACTGTTATTCATTTATTAGTCAACAACGCCATACATTATGATGTTATGAATAGATTATGGTAATGCTTAGTAATGGTAAATAGTTTCAAGTCTCGATAATTAATATTCTTTAAATTTCAGAAAATAACTAAAATCATTAAAGAAATAAATTATTATAAAAATATATTTAAAGAATCGTTAATTTTCTTAAATTTCCAATTTCACCAAAAAGTATACCTCAAATTTCTATAAAAAAATTTTAATACTTATAATGTGTATTTTCAATATTTTTTATTTCTTTAATTAAAACAATTTATAATTTATAAAGAACCTTATGCTTCTGTGACTTTGTAATGAATTTCCAAGTTTTAGTTTTTTCTCATACAATCGAATTGTACATTTTTATAATTAAGACAAATTTCTTAAAATTTAATTTTCAATTGCGTATAGTTTATGTATAATGGTATTATTCAGTATAATTCCTTATAACACAATACTAGTGTAAAATTGTGATTAGTATAAACGATGTTCATAAAACGTTTATTAAATATTTAAAAAACATGAATTCTTTAAATACATCACAAAAATATACTAAAAATTGTATTATTAATAATTATCAATAATAACTATAAAATAAATAATTAAATATATTTATTTAAAAAATTAAATTGAATTAACTCTTACAGTTTAACGTAAAAAAATAAAATATGATCTTAGTATTTATGAGAACGATCTTCAAGTCAAAGTCCATATTCAAACCGTTGTTAAATAATTTAGTTGAAGATATATTTTTTTTGATTACAAAATAATTGAGAATATATCATAACAACTATAATATTGTTTCTTGATGATCAAAAAATGAATTACCAGTCTGCAAGCAAAATTCACCCGTATATATACATTAAATAAAATTGGGGTACATTAGTTTTTAAATCAACACTGACCCTCGCTGCCGATGCCAACGCCAAGGATTAGCTTCAGAATTCTTCATGTGTAATTCCATTCAAGTGAACCACCAATGTTTGGTGATTTCTTGCAAAATAGTCTTTACTGTACCAAACATATTGATACCCTATTCAGGACCTTATGATAAGGTAATGTTGAAAGGATGATTAACTACTACATTTCACGTGTTCATTGAATGAAAATGTATTGAGGATTATCGTATCTACTTATCGCATGTCAAGACAACCTATACTATTATTTATTAGAAACAGTAAAAATTACGAATTTAAGAATATTTTACTAAATAATTGTGTCTTACGCTTAACAAATTTACAAAGAAAAAGTAAATTGTCGTTATTAAAATACCATTATGTTATCATATAAATTGTAATTGATTAGTTCATACATATGGCTAACTAATCGGTAAAACACATTAGCCTATGGGATAAAAGTTATGTTATATCCTATTGTCAGGTTTGATATTTTGACTTGCAAAACCCACCAGGTACGAAAACCCACGAAACGCATGAAGACTCGGCTATTGAAATATAAGTCCCATCTTTGAAGTGATTCCTAACTTCTAGTCACAATTCAATGCCCCAATAATTATTCTTCGATCACATACTTCTGAAATTATTCATTTTAATATTATGCTGACATAGTTTCTGACTTATATAAAAAGGCTAGTACAACATACATAATAATTAAAATTCGAATTTGACTACCTAGATCGCCGTCTTTTATTAATACTTTATTAATATGATAAATTAAAAATAATATCGTTGTCGTAAATGTATAATACAACGTACTTCTTTCTTTCATTTTTAATATATATATTTTTATGTTTTCATAATATTTATTTTAAAAGTTACAGTATAATTTATTAAAACTTGATATACATTATAAGCAATAAATAACTTTATAAAAATATTATATCGATGTTTCTGTTCTAACTTTTTCTAAATATAAATCGTGTTTAAAATATTAGTATAGTATATTAAAATGTTCTCAAGCATGGGTTATTCAATGATGTCTTAATGTCTATTTCAAAATAACGTAAAAAAAATTAAATCAATAAATTAAATTTTTATATACATGTGAGATGCCTGTAGGAATCCTGATTATATAATTATGCAACACATTTTGAACAGAGAATTAAAAAATATTAATATTTTTATTATCTTTTACAATTTACCCAATTCGAAAAGATATGATAAATCAAAATCCATCTCAAAGTAAACGCATCTGAATGACATTTAAATTTGAGATACATAAACATTGCTAACAGATTAGCAATAATAATATATTTCAATACCTATTAATTAATTTATGTCGTTGCATTAATTGATTAAAATTTAATATCAAAAAAAGTAATTTTTTTATTGTTGTTTTAGCATATCTGCGAGGATGCTTGTTAGGAAAATTGTTTGCAATAGAACATTATTATCTTAAAAAATGACGAAATTCTATTGCTGGTAGTTTTTTCTGTGTTCGATAATTTATTTATTTAGATTATATTTATTTGGTATGTAATAAGATAAACACAAATATTCATATCTTCATTGAAACAAGATTAGTACTAATAATTTTAAGAAAAAAGATATAATGTAAATCATTTTCATCGACTTTTCCATCACCATACTCTATGCAAATGTATGTAAATGAGAAATTACTGTTCTTGGTTTATTTTAACTTATTTTCTTAATTTGTTTTATCTAAAATAATATTTATCAACGAATTTTTTACTTAACAGAATAATATATTATCACTTAATACGCAGGTCACAGTAAGAAAATAAATAAATTTAAATTAGTTCAATATTCTAAGCAACCTGATTTAAAATATCAATACAGCTACAACTTTTATAATTTATGTTTTAAAAATGTCTGTAACCTAAAATATTATTATATATTATATTATTAAATATTATGTATTGACTATATTACTGAAGTCAATAATGAAATATATTTCTTATATAAGTAAAAATAATTGCCTTTCTTACATTAATAATTAATTGGAAATAAACTTCAGATGAAAAAAATATATTAAATTGAATTACTTATCGGATCTATACCTACAATCTAACGTAAGACATGGAATATTATAATTTATTGTCTTTATTATGTATACAATGTATAAGAAGTTGAGAACTAGAAAATAATTTATTTAGATCAGTATCATCGATATTTACTGCCTAAAGTGTATGATGGTTAATAAATTTATACTACATGTTTATTAATCTAAAAAAACTGATTTGATATACATTACTCTAAAAAATTAAGACTGAAAATATTTTGTAAAGTTTATAAAGAAAATCTTAGTTGATTCCAAAAACATTGTAGGTTGATGTAATACACACAAATTCGTTCAGAAATCCAAATAGCTTAAATGTATTACTGTGATTAATTATCCTGCACAGTTAAAATTATAATTTGCATAATGAATTAAACTTTGTCCTAAGGGAAAACAAAAAAAAAGTGTTACAAAAACTAGGTAGGTACTGTTCATCACGTTTACTGACCTAGGCCGGTGCCTATATCATCAATTACTGCTTGTTCTGTAAAGATGCAAGATGCAGCAGTGATTACCAATATTTGTTGAGTGGAAAAAATTAAATAGCCAGCTAATCACTCTAATTAATATTCTACATTATCACATATGCTTGAAATTCATAGTTTTATTATGAAATAACTGACAAAGTATACAATATTATATGCTGTGTCTACAAAAGTTTCCAAATTATCGTTAAGATGAGTGCGCTTATTTAGTAATGACTTAATAGACACGTACGATGTATCATGTATAATAAAATACACACTCATAAATAACATTTATTTTAGATGTTTCTCAAAATACATACACCCTTGAAATAAATTTTCTCTATATTTTTAGTGAACACGTTGTCAACTTTTAATGCTTATACGTGCAAAATTATCATACTATTTCGTAAGTCATACATACCTTTTAATTTTTTTATCGTTTAAATTTAGGTAAACCACAACTTTAAACTTTTATTTTTTTAACAAATCACTAGATATAGGTAGGTCATATGTTTATTATTACCAAAGTAATTTTTAACGTCATTTCTATAAGAATTAAAAATATATAACTAATAACCCAAATAACATTTTAATCGGAAAAACAAATGAAGTCAACAATTTATAAAAATGTGTAGACTTTTTATTTCATTATTCATAAAAAAAAAAAATTAAATTAAATTAAACATAAAATGTCATCATTATTTTCAAGAAAAAGCTTAGTCTTTGTAAACCAGATATAGATTTACTTATTAAAATATTATTTATTGATATGATATATTTATTTTGATTCACTTATAAAGTGATAGTATTTTTGAAAATTTATTAATATAACCAAAAAGAAGATAATTATCATACTATACAATCCTGCATTGGCGAATCGTAATTATAATGAATCAACATAAAAGTGGTAGATTTTTTTAAAATTTAAAAAATAACGCATTTTAAATTTTAATTAAACTATTTTATATTTGTTCAATCTCATCATCTATAATTATTATTAAGTACTAATGAGATAATTCCACACATTTGTCGAAATAAAATTAAAAACAGATAAATATTAAAATAGAAACGTTATCACAAGTATAATAAAATGTTATGATATAAAAAGTAAGTAATGTGGTTACACGATACGATAAATTTGAGTTTTTTTATTCAGTGAAACACTGGCCATGAGAACCATGAAAAACATCTATAAACAGATAAAATTTTATATAAGTAAAGTTATAGTAACATATAAATTAAATAAATATTATTAAATTTTTTAATGACATATGCATTAAAGCTACCTTTACCTATTTTATTTTAAAATTTTCGCAAGCTTAATTAATATAACACACATGAGATTACTTATCTGAAAAATTTGTTGAAAATATTAAGTATGTAGGTACATCATATAAGGTATGTTCACCATTTTTATAGGAACAACACATTTTTTCTAGGTTTATTTTCATCTGAATTAAGTTAAATATAAAACTTTCATATACTAAACTTTTATTTAAAACATTTATTTTGTGTTTTTAATTAAAATATGCTATGAAAGTATTAATTTTTCTAATGAACATTCAAAATTGTAGATGGTTTTATGTACCTATAACATAATATTTTCTAAAATGTTTGTTGGTAAAAGCAAGAACAGTGGTTAATATTAATTATTGCAAAAATAAAACATGACAAATAGCATTCAAAACCACTAATGAAACAAATATATTCAATTAAAAATGATTTTTTTTTTCACTTTCTTTAATAGTAATGCATGGAAGAGTCACACAATTTAAGAAGTAATTTATATTGTTTTTTGTTATATAAAAAAAAAAAATCACACTTATGATATTATGATAAATAAAATAATAATAAAAGACATTCATAGTAATTCCAATTTTATTTAGAACATACATATAATATAAATAATAATTAATAAAGCAAACAAAATATTCAAATAACATAAAGTAGAAAACTTATAAGGCTTAAAAAGCAAAACATATAAAAAAATAATAATAAACATAATATTATAAAGGAAATGAATTGCCAAGAATAATACTGGATAAAATAAAAATATAGTAATAAGAACATGCCTAAAAGAATAATGACGTTGTAATATAAAAGGTATGTCAAAAAATATATCTACAATTATTAATAAGATCAATAAGGATGCAAAATTCGCTAGTCATACGTACACAATTTTGAAAACAGACTTTCATTTATTAATGTTTTTTATTAACTAAATTAAAATTTATCTGTGTTTTATTTATATATTTATTATTTTATAATTATTTTTAACTGTTTCAAAGTAATAGTTTATTAGGTGTTCTCTAATTGAAATAAGAAATATCTATCCAAAAATAATAGATTTTTTTGTCATAATAGTTATTTTATTTTATTAATGTGAAATGGGTTGTTAAAAACTGACACTATTTCCACAACGAAATAAAAAATTCCAGATTCTATGCATAAATAAGTATTATTTTTATTTTAAATGTTGAGTAATATTTTAGTTTATATTCCAGTATTTATTTGTATTATAGATTTGATTTGATTTTTTTTTTCTTTTTTATCTAGTATTTTGTACTCAAAATTGTTTTTTGATTTTAATAAAAAAAAAAAACCTAACTGTATTTAAAATTTCATATTAAAAACAAATGCTATAATACGGGGTACAATATTTAACAAATTAATATATTTTAAAAGGTTGAAACATGACAACACTATTTTATTTTATAAGCATCCGAGCATTTCTATTTCATCTATTGTTTTTGAGCAGGCAAATACTTATCTATTTTTACTACCCGAGAATTATTCGAATTTAAAACACGTAAAAATAATTGAATTAAAGATAACTCAAATAATGCGATTGACTCAAAAAACAGTTAAAACAATATTGTAACTTGTAAGTAATAAATAGGAAATTCATAAAAATAAAACAATTTGTAAATTTAATAATATGCGTATTTCACTACATCTGCGGACATTATGTTAGCTAGAAACTATAGAGGTATATAAAGGGGTATAGGTAAAATAGCTATAAAGTTAATTTATATTAAAATATATTTAGAATTAAAAATAAGCATACATAACTATAATTTTAACTTATAGTATATAATGAAGTTTGTAGGAAAATGTACCAATGTATACCTTAATATAGGTAGTATGGTATGCTTACATTTTAAATTTAAAACCTTCAAGTATAGAGTTTTTTTCACAATATTAACAAACTTGAAGTTAAAAAAGTCTTTTTGTTGTCGAATACATTTTTACTTAAGTCTTCGGCACGAATGCTTCTACTCTAAACTCTCCAAATAAGTAACAAAATTAATTTTCGAACTATAATATTCCAGTTTTCTCATTGTCATATAATACACTAATTCAAAATAGATTATTATAACAAAAATATTTTTTAAACTACATAAATATTAATTTTGTATTATAAGGTTGTGAAATTAGATTATAAACAGTTGATATTTAATTTTTATAAAAGCAATATAATGCATATATTATAATAATTATACAAATAAATTAATATGCCTTTAATATAATTTCATTATCTACAAATTAAATCTCGTTGTAATAACAAAAAAATAAGATGTTTTAAATTTTAATCTTGTAAGCACATTTAACAACAGCTCAAAAGTCGGTTTAAAAATTATTATTATTATTATTATTATTATTATTTTTTTTTTTATGATAGTAGAGAACAAAGAAATGTGTCGCAGATTGTTTAAATGCATCTGTCATTAAAGATTTCACGAATCAACGGTATAGATACCTAACAATATATGATAATATATAGTATTAAATGAAAATAAGTTTATATTTTTATGAATTTCCACATGGTTTTTGCACTTGATAAAAAAAGTGTGGGTTAAGTTATTTGTAGACAGATATGAAATAAGTATAATAGCATGTTTACCCCACGCTCATAATAATAATTTCCACCGAAAAAAATGAATGAATAATATGGGCACAGGTGTGTTACTGTTTTTAAATTTTAAAGTTTTTTCCACGACTAACCCATGTATAGTATGCGTAATTTCGTTCCTTCCCGCCGTCGGGTCTAGGAGTAGATATGATTTTTTTACACCTATATGTATATATAGTGTATAATATTTATGTATTATATAACATATTGGTACAATATACGTGTATATAAATATATCATGCAGTAATTATTATACGTCATGTACATAATATATTGGACAATAATCACTGGCACATTCGTTGGTAGTTTTCCAAAAATGAAAAATAATAATAAAATATCGTCTTAACACATGATGGTATGTATATATTATAATTGTAAATTATTATACGGTCATGCGCAAACACACGCGTGCAGCAGCAGACTTCCAACCGTCGTATATCGCAATCAGAGCGGCTGCTGCGAGAATACTTCGTACGTTGTTCTCATGGAACTGCTGCGACTCACGCTCATGCTGCCACCGTTAGCATTTTTCTTGTTCTTTGGTCGCAAGCAGATAGACTTAACTAACGTCCAATGCTGAAGCACGTACAGGTACGGGTCCAGTGCGAAGTGCATAGCCAAAAGCATGTCCGCGGCGATGAAGAACGGCTTTACTTTCGACTCGTCCACAATGAACCACCTGGACAATGGTATTGCTATCTGCCATGAAGCATACAAACATATAAATTAATGTTATTTTATACATGAGTAAATGTGATATGAGCTTTTTACTACCTAATTTCTAATTTCAAAAACTATTGGTCCCGATTTTAATAAAATTATATCAATAGATCCCTCGAGACAAAGAGAACGATTTTAGTTTCTATTTTCAACTTCAATAGCAGGTTGCTATAAAGTGGCCAACATATAAATTTTATACTGATTTACAAAAATCGAATAGTTTTTCGTAAATATATATTAGTTACAGAAATACAATTAAAAAAAAAAAAAAATGTTTATAGACTAGCTGATCCACTATGCATAACTAATGTGATTGCTTTTAAATAAAAGAAAATAATATTTAATTTGTTGTTTGTTATTCAAATGTACCACAAAAAGAAATGTTTTTAATTTAGTAGCTTATGACAAATCCAAACACTGCTCGATTAATTTCGATAAAAATTTTAGTAATGGTTCTTCTGAAGATATTAACAGGAAATTTTAGAGAGTAATTTGAATTACGTTTGAACATTTACCGAGTGCCCTCATGATCGAATTTCTGTACTAAGTGAGATAAATCGAAATCAATTTCCGTGTAAACAAAATACTATTTGTTTTTCGCGAGTCAAAAAATCTTTGTATGAATATCTTTTTAAAATGCAAAATTTAAAAAATTGGCTTCACATACATGAGGAGGTGCAGATTTTCAAGCATAGGATTACCTGTAAACCAAATTTTAGAACCATGTGAGCAATAAACTCAATTGTGAATTACTTACACACATACAAATAATAATTGATATAGATATATAAGAAGATAATAATAAAGGATACGTACAAAAGATGGGTGGAATTTTTGAAAATCTAAACGCGGAAAGTAAGCCAGTAATACGAGACTGGCATCTACCGTTGTATAGAAATAGTTCAAGAGTTTTTATTAGTTGCCGATAGATAGCTCTTAATATACTAAACCTGAGATGGATTGGAACGTTTTTGTTCTTATCATTTCTTAATGCAATGGCAATACACTTCAATAGAAATCATTTTTTATTCATTAAATATGTGGTTAAAATTTACAAAAATAATTGCGCCCCCTGAACAATAAAGAATGGCTCTATCTATGTTTACAATTGTTGCCACAAACCACTTATTCTGTTAATAATATTATATTTTTTAATTACAATAATTTAACAAAAACCAAGGTATAAGATATTTGATGTAATTTTAATTTGGTAACTGATTTTCAATTTAATTCTAATATTCATTTATACTTTAAATTTTAAATCTGAGAAATATCTCAAAACACGTGTTTTAAAGTTTCTAATAAATAAAGTAAAACTTTAAAATTAATTAAAATTTTAAGAATAATGTCTACAATGTATAATCTCCAATAAATATTAGGATACTATATGATTTTTGCCTGTCTTATAAATGCTATGATTTTCAAAATCACATTTAATAATTCATTATATTTACTAATAATTTAATTTTTTAAATAACTTAAAAATCTGATAAAATAAATGGAAATATAATGGTTTAATACTTGTATAGAATGTTAAAAAAGGTACAAAATTAATTTAATAATTATAATATAAAATACCTTCAAAACATTTAATCTGATTTCGTTCAAAATATCATACAGTGGTTAATAATTTTTAATAATTACATACATTTTTGGGAATGCTAGAATAAATTATATAATCATTTTAATATCATAATCATCTGAAAATTATCAAAACGTGAAAATAATTTTATCGGAACAAAAATCCATCTATTGTTCAGTATTCAGGATGTTAAATGAACAACGCAATTCTTGACGATTAAAATTGTACATTAATATTCTTATATAACAAGCGTTGTAAAAATATAAGCATATACAGAAATGCGTTTATTATACGTATTATATTTAGTAAAAACGAATATCAAAATATAACGCAATTTTAAATTTTCAGAATGCAACAAATTTACTCTAGAAATATTCACAGAAAAGAGATAAAAGTAATCTTATTATAATTAACGATTTATGAGGAAGATTATAATGTAAAATTATGTCATTCCACTGAAAAAAATATAATTTGCAAGCAAATATAATAATGTCAAATTTAGTTGTATTTTTTTCACTCTATAAAATATTGTATTATTATTCACATTCGTAATACTAATTAAGTTTCTATATAATATTATAATCTAGCGCATAACAACAATAACTGATAACAGGAACATTTATTGGAATTATAGTTTTACATTTCTAAGTTTTTTTTTTCGTTTAAATGCACAAACGTGGGCCATCAAAATATTGTACTTTTCATGTTTCATGTAAAACTAAAATATATATTAAAACAATATTTTTTGTAACAAAATAATATCTATGAAATTACATTTCTTAATCTAATTTTATTATTTAAAATCGCAATATAAAAATATAGGTAGGTACTGCTTATTATATATTAAGCTATATTAATCAGTGACATCACAGAATTTTTCTATAAGCTAGCTGGTGTCTTGAGTATGATAAAAATACAACATAAAATATTTGATTATAATTCAACTGTTATGATGATTGAATATGCGCAAAAACCGTGGACAAGTATAATAATGGTAGTGGACTCATGGGTCAAAAATCAGAAAATAGCTAAATTTTTCACGCTCTATAATTATTGATTAAATATACATTAAAAATATATTCATTAAATATTTAATCAATGCTTTTATATTGTATTTATAATGTGTTATCTTGCAGTTCGTCACTCCAGGCAATCTTGAAATAATATTTTTAAACCAATTTATACCCTGTACAGTAGAGTAATACAGTAATACTTCGCACTATAAATGTAGATAACTATAATTTACTGTAGCGTTTACCATTTGCGGGACCCAACATGTAACAAATGCGACACACAGCAAAACCATTAACCATCCGAATGCCCTTTCTTCTTTAGTAGTTGCATTGCAAGTCAATGACGATCCTCGACTGATGCGTCTCATTAACACGCTGTGGTTGTGAGGACTGTCTTTCATACATAGAGCTTTCATAACGGCTAAGTTCGTGTAGACTATTGCAAAGCATAAAAATACACCTATATTTAAATAACAAAAACATTTATTTTTATTATGGATTGAAGAAATTATAAAGAATCTCTTATTAAACTTTAAAATCTTAGATATAAAAAAAAGAAAATTTTTAAGAATTTTAAACTAATTTATAAATGTTCATGATTTTGTCAAAATTTCTCAATATTATAAAATCTACCATTTGTAAGAAAACATTATGAATTTGTATTTTTGAAGTTTTTAATTGGCATGTGAACAACTTATGAAGAAACTTGTATACAATTTTGAAGATTTTTAACGAAAATTATCAAAAAAAAAAATAAGAACCAAAAGTTTCTTAATATTATAAATAGCTTAAAAAAATAAACTGTAAAATGTTATTTATAGTATAATATATTATTATTTCTGGTAGGAACCCATATTTTATGGAAATGAGGGAGCGAATTAAATTTATTTTAAATAATGCCAAACTGTTTGTTTTTTTTTTTATTATTATTTATATACTTTCAATTAATTTATTAATCTAAAAATTGTTTTAAAAGTTACCTACTTACCATGGCCAAAATATAAGTAAGCGTATAGGACATCCAAAGGCTTCTTAGCATTCCGATAACGTACACACGTAGACGATTTATCATCCCAATAGAGACCAAATCCAAAATATGGTGCGCACACTAAACACAGTACTCCTAACCAAAGTATGACCATCATTCGTTTGAGTAGACGAAGACTAATATGCTGGAATTATATGTATTCTATAATTAGTATATTAAGTTTAATTAATATAGTATTACATAACTTAAAATTATGCTTAGTATAAAATGCGCAAAGTATGTACAATTGTTTGGTCTTCTAATTAGTCATACATTAAATAATTATAGTTTTTAAAGAAGTCTTTGTTATATCTGTAGGTATATTCTACTACCATTTATCAAATCCGATTCAAATAAAATATGAATTTCTATTTTTATAACGATTTTTTGTGACTTCAGACTTAGGAATATAATATACCTATCGAAATTATTTATATAAATATAGGTATATAGATTTAATTATTATTTATGATCTTTAATAACATCGATGATAAAGAGTCATTAGTTATAATATGAACATTTAAAAACCTTTAGATAGATTGTAGTTAGCTTAATTTTTGATAGCATTTTTTTATAAATATAAAATCATATAATTTTTATAAAAATTTTCTTTCAAATAAAAAAAAAAAAATTATATAATTGTTGATATTTAGGCCCTAATTTTGTTTTCAAATTGTTCGATATATTAAGGCTAGTGAGTAGTGAGGTACTTAATGTAATAACGACATTATACATTATTAAATGTTACACCACAATTAATAAAATCCCCCATTTTTTACATGTTTATTGGTAATTGTTTGTCATTAGGACAAACATCCATAAGTTAATCTCGTATGACCAATATATGAAATCTACAGCTTAAAAATATCTGTATTTTAATTGGCCAATTATATATTGTAGGCATATAAACCTAAATATATTTATACATAAATTTTATTAAATTTACTATTATTATAAATTATGTTGACTTAAACTTACAATTATAATATATACATAGGTATAATTATCGTCAAAAATAATTATAACATAAACAAGTACACATTGTACACAAGATGAAAAATACAGTAAATATATCAAATTCGTCCAATACAACCAGTGGTGTTTGATGGTTATACGAGCATATTATTATAAACTACTTAGTACTTATTATAACACAGCAAACGTATTTAATAAGCAAAACAAACATTCACAATAATATAATATATCATACTATAGGTCCCGCTTGAAAATCAAAAGTATAATATTAACACTAAAACGCGTCCTTTATAATTTCCTGTCCAGTTTGTATGTATATGTAATAGCTATTATACAGTACACGTATAAGGTAGCAACGTTCTGTATTACATACGCCATCGCAAACAATACATTTAATAAAGCGTACAGCCGATAAATCAATCCGACTTGCGTATAGCAATGCACATAATACATATCACTATATTATATTATACTTGTATTTCCGTCGAAACGGCAGAAGATTTTGATTCATCAAGTCATATATATATATATTTATTTATATATGGAGCACTGATGCACATACATAGTATAATAATGATGTCAAAAATATATTATAATATATATACTATAATAATAAAAAATTATTGCCAAATCCTTCATTAGGTTTAGGAAAATTTGTCAAACCTGCCAGTGTTCTAATACATAAATTTTACTTTTTTTGAAACACAAGTGTTTTTATGGCATCGTTGTAATTTTAATACGTTAGAATGCGTGTAAGGATTTTTTAAATGTTAAACAAATCTTATTCAACATTTTAGTTTGCGATGAAATATAAATATTTTAATAGTTAGGAAGAATAAGCTTTTATAAAAAAATTAGTGTTTGAAGTAGTGAAATGTGGACCATTTTTACAGTAAAAATGTATATTGTAGTCCTACTAATCATTGTTAACGAAAAAAAAAAAAAAAATTGGACTGAAATTACGCATTACTCCCAATCACAGCGTATATACACTCGTCTTCTGGTGACTCAACGGCCATCAACTATACTTAAGTACTCGACCCGACGACTTGATAACTGTTGGTGATGCAAAAGCATCTTGCCATATAACTATACTATACTTATATAAATATTATATATTATATTGCTAATAATATGCGCTCATTACAGCTTACCGAGTCTACGTGATCGACGCTACATAAAATAGATTAAAGACACTCATGTAGCAAACTTAACTATTCCGGTGTAGTGTTTCTGTCTCGCATTAAAATATCAATATGAGTTTAATATTGGCGTCATACTTTAATATTATTATTACTGCAAAATCAAATAATATTGTTATTATTATTATTGTTTTTTTTTTTTTTTATGCTAAGAAAGATATAACTATATACTGTTTATTTCAACGATTATAGTTGGGATAGGATATTATGTGTGTGTTGCTAAAAAAGTGGTCACCCATCCGGGAACTAATAATGGAGCCGCTCGCTTGACAGAAAACAATATTATAATCGTTAACCGTTTGTTTACGTGTAAGAAATTAAAACGTTTCATACAAACATACAACATAAAACACATATAATTTTTCTTTTCGGATAATTAATGCAACACAATATTTATAGTCCATAGATAAAGGTAGTACAATATATGTTAACCTCGTATAATAATAATATAATATTGTATTGTATAGAGGCGCCTATCATTTATAGTAATATACATGTACAAGTAGTTAAACCTACAATTTTATATATTTATATACATACACATAACTGGACAGTATTACTATGACGAATGAGTCGCCGTTGCAACACCAATACTAACGAGACTGAATATTCGCACTATGAATATCAAACATAAATAAAAGTCCCATACATTTTTTGACCGTTGCAGTATTGTCATGATTTGATAGAATTTTTTGGCGAAAAAATGAAAACTTTCATAAGCTGATATATCAAAACTTTCAGCTATCTTCCATTCGATAAAAATTGAAAAATATTATATTCACAAAATTGAACCTAACCTAACCTATTTCAGCTATAGAACAAGATAAGTTGTTTTTAAATAATACAAAACAAATGCTCTATTAGTTTAAAACATTTTTTTTGTTTTAAATTTTTTTCAATGATCTTTTTTTTGTTATGTTTTAAAAATTATAACAATGCTTTGTTTCAAGTATAATATTATATAGGCACATTAGAAACTAATATAATTTTTATATTATCTACGCCTTGGTTGAACATACTGTTGTGTATAAATAAAATATATATTTCATAAAAAAAAATGACGATACAATATATGTTTTTTGTTTTAAGCTTATATTAAAATATTTTAAACCTTGATTAAAATCTATTAAATACATTCTAACCCTGAATCGATAACTATAGTTTATTAAAAAAAATATTATGTAGTAAATGAATATGCAAATACATATATTATGGCTTAGAAATGAAATGTTATTTGGTAAAAAATTAAACGCGTTGCTTGAATATGATTGATAATTATTATATAAAATTCAAAAGTTATTTCAATAGCCAGTGTCAAAAATAAAATTCTTCCATTCGAATTGACTTGATTTAATAAAATTCGAACGCCACAAATATACACAAAATATAATTATATTTTAAATAATATGTGCTACGACTTTAATGAGTTAATTGTCTAATTCTATTACAAAAAGACACGCATAGTGTAATATGTAATATAATATAAGTGTCGTTACGAATTAATTATAAATAGTTCCTCCTTCCTGCCACGGTAAGAAAACGAAAAAGAAAAGATTTCTATGCGTGTATATACACCTTATATAAAAACATATGTACATAGAATATTTTGTTTTTACTAACGACCTTCAATATCATTAATTCAAGACTTTGCAGCTTACTTGTATATTTTATAGTGTCATAAACAGAATAATAATTTTTAATCAGCAAAAATAGAATATAATAATTGTGTTGTTTATTTTCATCGCCTAATATATCTATATATAATGCACGTCATGTTTTCATCAACAGACATACATTTTCTCAAAAAAAATAAAAACAAAACAAAAAAACTTATACGCTATCGACCATAGACTGTTTATATATTTTTCTTCGCTGGGGGTCTTTGTAATATATACGTTGATCAAAGGTCGTATATAAACTCAAATGCATCAAAACGTCTTATTAAGACATTTGAGATATTTTTTTTAGCAGCTATCGTCCATTGCTTTTTCAATTAATCCCCCACGGGTTATATTTACCAATTTCAAAAAAAAAAAAAAAAAATAATAATAAAATAAGCCAATTTATTCGATAATAAGGTCAAATGAAACTAAACCCAATTCAATATATATATATATAAATTATGTATAAAACAGTGTCGTATAAATAACTGATAAAATATTGCAAAATGTAAACAAAATATCAAATAATATTGATCACATCATGGTTTACTACGAATGATAATTATATTTATTGTATTATGTCACAAAATGCTTCTATTATTTATGCATATGTTATATAATAGATATTATGTAAATATTAAACACGATTTAAATTATTATATTATTTTAATATCACGCAATAGAATGTAAATACCTACAATGTCTATAGATTTAACATATTATATATCTTTATATTTATATTAGTTAATAAATAAGTGAGATAAAATATTGTATGTACTTACCTACTAGCGGTTTGTGATTTTATTTTTTTATGTTATCTTTAATGACTATTACAATTTGCAGTATTGCCTGATAAAATTGAAAAACGTGAAAATTGAAAACTCACAACTTTCTGTAAATGTAATATGACTATTAAAAAATCTAATACCCTTGAAGATATAATTTATCATATCAGTTTTTTATAATTTAATTTCCCTGAGTAGAAAGCATTAACATTTACAAAATATTTTACAGTAAATTTTTGATAAAAAAAAAAAATAAAAAAAATAAGAAATATATTTTAATATTTTATTCTATTAAAGTCTATTTAACATAAGATTTTTAATAATTTTAATTCTAGCTGTTCTTTCTTAAGTGATCCTAAAAAGCATTTTTAATATTAACTATAACATTGTTATGTGGCTTTGTATTTGAGATATAATTTCCAAAATATTTATATTAACTGTATACTACTATAATTGAGTAGTAATAATTATTCAAATTTATTCTGATATCGATAAAAGCTAATCATATAAGAGTAAATCAGT